CGGCAGAACGTCCCACTCAGGCGTCAGTCGCGCTCACCGTCACCGCGGTCGTCATCTTATTCAGGCAACGGAAATCGAAGGCCGCAAGGACGGTCTCCGAGCCCTCGCCTGGAAAACTAACGCCAGCGACCTTTCGAGGCGAGGCCGCTGATTCTCGACGTGATGAAGACCTCGCCCTCCAATCGACGCGACATCGGACCAACGGAAATTCGACTACGCCGGCGCCTGTATCCCAGCTGAGCGACTTTTCAATGGACATACCTGTGCTGCTCGACGGTCGCAATTTAACTGCCTTAATAGACACTGGTGCTGACTACTCGATTATTAGCGGACAATTGGCACGTACCTTGAAGAAAGTGATAATGCCTTGGACAGGATCGCATGTACGTACAGCTGGCGGACATGTTGTAACGCCGGTTGGTTTGTGCACGTCCAGGCTACAAATACGAGGCTGCACGTTTTTGGTCAGCTCCATCGTGCTACGTGACTGCTCCCGCGAATTAATTCTCGGCCTCGATTTTCTTCGGGAATATGGCGCCGTAATCGACCTACGGCGACGCTGCATTTCCTTTTCGACAGTCAACGCTACGTCAAGGGGCTCCAACCGCCGTACAACCGCCCTCCGTGTTTCCGACGACAGTGTCACAATACCACCTCGTGCAAGTATCCTAATTCAGGTGACTTCCGAAGGAACCAGTGACGGTGAAACAGTGGCAGAGTGCAACGTCTCCCTGCTGCTGGCGCTTGGAATTTCTGTGGCACGAGGCATCATTGACATTCGGAACGGTACAGCCGAGGTCATGATTACAAATTTCACCAATGAGCATCGTCACCTTTTCCGGGGCACTGCGGTCGCCTACGCTGAAGCCTTGGAGGACGTCATTGAGTGTTTTGCCTGTGAAGACAGTAGCCGCAATGGACAAACCGTAATAGATGTTGACATGAACAGTGCACTGCCAGAAGAGAACCAGAGGGCCTTGCGAGAGCTATTGTTTGAATTCAGGGCGTGCTTTGCTCAGTCGTCTAAAGTGAGTCAGACGCCAATTACACAGCACAGGATAATCACTTACGACGACGCAAGACCTATTCACCAACAGCCATACCGCGTCTCGCCGACAGAACGTGCAGCTATCAAGCAGCAAGTGAAAGAAATGATCGACGACGGCGTTATCCAGCCTTCGAACAGTCCCTGGTCCTCACCGGTCGTTCTGGTTAAGAAGAAGGACGGTACGCTTCGCTTCTGTGTAGATTACAGAAAGCTCAACAACGTCACAAAAAAAGATGTTTATCCGCTGCCGCGTATTGATGACTCGCTTGACCGACTACGACGAGCGAAGTATTTTTCTTCCCTGGATTTAAAGAGTGGCTACTGGCAAATTGAGGTTGATGAGCGCGACCGCGAAAAAACCGCCTTTGTCACGCCGGATGGCCTCTACGAATTTCGGGTGCTACCGTTCGGACTCTGCTCTGCGCCAGCTACCTTCCAACGCATGATGGACACTGTGTTGACTGACTTAAAATGGCAAAGCTGCCTTGTGTACTTGGATGATGTGGTCGTGTTTTCAACCAGCTTCTCCGAACATCTGAAGCGACTACGACAAGTACTTGAGGCGATTCGGACGGCTAACCTTACGTTAAAGCCGCAAAAATGCCATTTCGGTTACGAAGAACTAAAGTTCCTTGGACATGTCGTAAGCGCAGAAGGCGTCCGTCCTGACCCTGAGAAAACCGCCGCTGTCGCAGCCTTCCCGACTCCTGCCGATAAGAAAAGTGTGCGGCGGTTTCTTGGTCTATGCGCGTACTACCGGCGCTTTATAGGCAATTTTTCGAAAATTGCCGAACCATTAACTAGACTCACTAGAGACGATACGCCGTTCGTTTGGAGTGCTGAACAAGAATCAGCATTCACAGAGCTTCGGCTTCGCCTGGCATCACCACCTGTTCTTGGACATTTCGACGAGGAAGCCGAAACAGAAATTCATACCGACGCCAGTAACGTCGGTCTGGGCGCGGTACTCGTCCAACGGCAGGAGGGAATTGAAAAGGTTATCGCCTACGCAAGCCGAACCCTAACACGCCCGGAGTCAAACTACAGTACCACGGAGAAGGAGTGCCTTGCTGTCGTGTGGGCAATTGCTAAGTTTCGACCTTACCTTTACGGCCGTCCATTCAGAGTAGTGACGGATCATCACTCGCTGTGCTGGCTTGCGAACCTCAGAGACCCCTCCGGACGACTGGCAAGGTGGAGCCTACGTCTGCAGGAGTACGACGTCACTATCGTGTACAAGTCCGGTCGTGCACACGAAGATGCGGACACGTTGTCACGCGCGCCAGTTGAGCCTGCCGCTCAGAGCTTCGAAGAGGACTGCCCTTTCCTTGGCTCCGTAAGCGTAACAGACTTGGCTTTACGGCAGCGAGCAGATGCTCAATTGCGACCTATCATTGAACATCTAGAGGGCCGCAACGTATCACTGCCCCAGCATATAACTCGCGGATTGTCATCCTTCTGCTTACGACAGGGCGTGTTGTACAAGAAGAACGCAGCCGCCAGCAACAAAACTTACCTGTTGGTCGTCCCCGCAGAGCTGCGTGAGGAAATTCTATTTGCCTGCCACAACGAGCCTCCATCGGGCCATCTGGGCATCACCCGAACCATCGCTAGGGTACGAAAGTCTTACTACTGGCCGAAACTTGCCGCTTGCGTTAAACAGTACGTTCAAGCCTGCCGCGAATGCCAGCGCCGAAAATCCCCATCTGTTAAGCCTGCGGGATTACTTCACCCTATCGAGCCACCCAGAACACCCTTCGATCAAGTCGGCATGGACCTCCTGGGTCCGTTTCCCTTGTCATCTTCCGGCAACAAGTGGATAATCGTCGCTACAGATTATCTAACCCGCTATGCTGAAACTAAGGCGCTTCCTAAAAGCACGGCTTGTGAAGTTGCTCAGTTTTTCATCGAGAGAATTGTATTACGCCACGGTGCTCCATCCTGTGTCATCACAGACCGAGGAACAGCGTTTACAGCAAGGCTCCTTGAACAAGTTTTTCAGTTAAGTTACTCCACGCATCGCAAGACAACAGCGTATCACCCTCAGACAAATGGACTGACCGAGCGGCTTAACAAAACGATGACTGATATGCTGTCTATGTACATAGACGTACAGCACAAGACGTGGGATGAAATACTGCCTTACGTAACATTCGCGTATAATACCGCTACGCAAGAGACCACACGATTCACTCCGTTTCGTCTTCTATACGGTCGGGACGTTCAGACGATGTTGGACGCAATGCTCCCATGCGACATTGACAACATCGAGAATCTCGACGAAGATGCTGAGTGTTTCGTGCAACGAGCCGAGGAAGCACGTCAACTAGCCCGCGTAAACATCAAGAAACAACAAGGCGTCGATGCACAGCGCTACAACCGCTGCCACAGACAAGTCGATTATAAACCAGGTGACCAGGTGTTGGTTTGGACCCCTGTGCGCTGCAAAGGTCTCTCTGAGAAGCTTCTCAGTCGGTATTTTGGCCCGTACAAAGTGCTACGACAAGTGAGCGACGTCAATTACGAAGTCCTTCCGGACGGAAGCCAACCACCCCGACGCAGACAGCTACGACCCGAGATTGTGCACGTGGTGCGGTTAAAACCGTACCACACACTGTGACAATGTTTTTTTTTTTACGATACACGCTTCGTTTAGCATCGAGACGATGCTCTTCAGGGAGGAGGGGCAGTGCCGCGCGCTTGATCTGCCAGCGCAAAAGAGGCAGACGAGGTGGCAGTTCCCCTCGTGCCATTGTTCTGTTTTTGGCTGCGCTGAGCCGACCGCTCTTCGGACTTTTGTGAGGACGCCTTAAAAACGTCTCCTGTCTCTTTAACGTGACAATATATATTTCATGCAATTTTTTTTCGATTGTATATTGTGAATGCCAATTTAGCACTAACGCTGTTGCGCTCAGCGCGAGCAGGATCTCCTCAGGAGGCAAACCGCCTCCTTTTGTCCTGACAGCGGGCAATTCAATTTTATTGTTGAAAAATAAAATAAAGAAAAATATATACAAAATTCAGTTTATCACACGTCAGTAAACCTCTGTATAAAATTATTAAACACGCCAGCATAACATTTTAAATGATAACATTGAATGAGCTTAAATTAGGGCTGCGGTGTCTTTTTGTTGTGCCTTAAGGTCAACGTCATTGTATGTTAAATACCATATTGAGTGTAACCTTTCTTTCACTACAACTGCAAATAGGACATTGACGTCAGATTAATGAAACTGGCAGTGCTGCCATTTTTATGGCCCATCTTTCTATGCATGCCTTTTGAACTGGTTCACGAACAAGCCTCGATGAACATGCACAAACACTCGTTAATCACAAAGTAGATGGTCTGTCTTCCTTTCGCAGTCAGTGAGAATGCTTCTTCATCTACCATGAAGGAGCCTTACATTACCAGAATTTCTGTCCAATCTGTCCAAAAGCCAACAAATTGCTATCCCAGGCTGAGCAAATTGTTTACCTGTACCTTGAGTTCTCAGATCACAAGTTCATAAAGTCTTGAGAATGACGCCTTTCCTTGTTGTCTTCTCTGACGGAATCCGCAAACCAATATATATATATATATATATATTACTTAGTTATGTTGGGTTTTGTGGCGCAAGAGCAACTAAGGCTATGCTGCGCCAGACTCATGGTGAGAATACTTACAGCAAACAGGGCTATGACAATGACTCTGAAATGTCTTAACGGCGAATGTAGAGGTCGCCACCCTTCAGTCATTTAGTTCGGCTGCCACTAGCAGGTGGCGCCCCTGAGATTGTATATATTCTGCCCCGAATAAAGTGGGAGCCCCTTTTCGTTAGCTGAGCAGCTGTCGTGCGTACCGTCTCTCTCCGCTCGTGCTCTGCCACGCTGGCGCGGCACCAGCCACAAGACATGGTGTCAGAAGTGGCTGCGTAACGCCCTCTCATTCCGAACTCGCCCGTACCGCACGACGATGGCCCTCGACGGAGTGGCGCCGAAAAAGCTCAGCCTCAACCTCCAGCCGCCCGCACCGTTCGACTTTGTGCACCCGGGAACCTGGCCAGCATGGCTCAGCCGCTACGAGGACTACGCCGTCGTTTCCGGCCTGACTCAAGCATCCGGCGACATGCAGGTACGCTCGTTGTTGTAATGTATGGGGCCGGAGGCCCGCCCACTTCTGGAGACGTTCTCGCTCGACACCGCATCACTCGCCTCATTTCAAGCGGTTGCCGCTAGCTTCACCGACCACTTCGTGCATCCGGCGAATGAACTGTACGAGTCGTCGCGTTTTCACCGGCGTGTTCAGTTACCCGACAAGAGCGTCGACGCCTACTACGCCGAACTGTGTAGAATGGTGAAGCGGTGCAACTATCCGTCAGCTGAGGTGGAGCAAAGGCTTGTACGCGATAGATTCGTCGTCGGCCTCCGCGACTCGCGCCTTTCGGACCAGCTTTGCCGGAACGCGAAGTTGACGCTCAAAGAAGCATGGATGCAGGCCCGTCAATCAGAAGACGCCGAAAAAGAAAAAACGTTGCCTCAAAACTGCGCAGAGCACTCCCGCGAGCTACACCTCGACGCCGTACGAGATAAGAAGTTCGCCTCTCGCCGCCACAACTACGATAAGCGGCCTTCGCCCCCGCGGAAAGCAGAGCGCTCCTGCCAGCTGTCAACATGTGAATTCTGCGGCCGCGCGCCACATCCACGTTCTAACTGCCCTGCTCGAAACTCCGTGTGCAACTTCTGCAAAAAGAAAGGACACTGCGGAAGTGTGCCGCGTGCGGCAGGCAAAACAGAAGCTCGGCTCCATTCAGCTACACGCTGTCGGGACGCCCGCCGCGGCAAAGTTCGTCGACATCACCGTTGACAACTACACAGCGCAGTTCAAGGTCGATTCCGGAGCCGAGGTGTCCGCCGTTCCGAGCGACTTCCCTGCATTGCCGGCCAAGCTCGACCCCGTCAACAGCCTGCTCACCGGACCTGGCGGTCAGCCGCCGCGCGTGCTGGGTTCGTACATGGCGAGACTTCCGTGGCACGGGAAAATGAGCTCTCAGCGCTTGTACGTGATCCAGTCTCTCACCGTACCTCTTCTTGGACTGCCGGCGCTTCAAGCTCTGGAAGTTGTAAAGTTTCTCGACGAACTTCAGACTACGAAAGCAACATTGCGTGCTGAGCTCTTCCAGGAATTGGGCACCCTCAAGGACGAGTACACTACCCTTCTGAGACCTGACGCCGTACCCTTCTCCCTAAGTGTGCCTCGCAGGATTCCCATCCCGCTACGCGAGGTCGTCCGTCACGAGCTTGACAAACTGGAGGAAGGAGGCGTGATCCGCAGGGTCGACAACCCAACCCCGTGGTGCTCTGGTCTCGTTGTAGTACGAAAAGCCGATGGTTCCTACCGGCTGTGCGTTGACTTGACTCAGCTGAACAAGGTTGTCCTTCGGGAACGCCACATCCTACCAACTGTAGAGCAAGTCCTTGACCTCCTTGGCCTCCTTGGCGACGCAAGTTTTCTCCAAGCTGGATGCAACAGCCAGTTTTCATCAGGTTAAACTATCTGCAGACTCCCAAGAGCTCACAACGTTCATCACCCCATTTGGCCGATACTGCTTCTGCCGGCTCCCCTTTGGCATCACCTCCGCGCCGGAGTACTTCCAAAAACAGATGGCCAGGATCCTGGAGGGCCAGGAAGGAGTCGCCAATATGATAGACGACATTCTGGTCTTTGGGCGCACCCGCGAGGAGCACGATGCCAGACTGAGCCAGGTGCTGCCTCGCCTTGCAAAAGCAGGCCTCACGTTGAACCAAGACAAGTGTCGTTTTGGTGTCTCCGAAGTCTCCTTCCTAGGAGTCATCGTTTCAGCACAAGGCATCAGGCCAAGTCTAGACAAGGTCGAACGGCAATCGAACGGAGAGGCGGAGAGAATGGTCAGGACCATCAAGGAGTTGTTTCGCAAAGCAACAGACCCTCATCTGGCCTTGCTCAGCTACCGGGACACCCCCGGAGTCGATGGCTTCAGCCCGGCCCAGCTCTTGATGGGACGACAACTCCGAACCAAAGTGCCGAAACAGGACTCCCAGTTATGTCCTCACTGGCCGTCGAGGAAAGACGTGAGGAGAAAAGATGCAGCCTACAAGCAGAAACAGGCCGCTGATTTTAACAGGCATCACAGAGCTCAAGATCTGTCATCGCTCCGAACAAGCCAGTGTGTCTGGGTACGACCTGGTCAGGCCAAAGCTACAGTGCTTAGCCCAGCACGCCGACCACGAAGTTATGTCGTGGAAACGGAGCAGGGTGGCGTCCTACAGCGCAGCCGGCGTCACCTAGTGCCTTTTGCACCTCCTGCGCCAAGGGTGGAACCACCGCCGTCCGAGGAGCAGGAGCCACAGCGAACACTGCCTCTTCTGGAACCCCAGCGAACTACTACAGTGCAACCACCCGATTCCCTTGGACTGCCCCCTGCAGACAGTGACCGCACTGATGGTGTGACACGAACACGTAGTGGCCGCCGTGTTGTGCCTCCGAACCGCCTGAACTTGTGATGTGCAGTGTCTGGCGTCCTCCGTCTTCCGTCTGGTCTTCAAGGGGGGAGATGTAGAGGTCGCCACCCTTCAGTCATTTAGTTCGGCTGCCACTAGCAGGTGGCGCCCCTGAGATTGTATATATTCTGCCCCGAATAAAGTGGGAGCCCCTTTTCGTTAGCTGAGCAGCTGTCGTGCGTATCGTCTCTGTCCGCTCGTGCTCTGCCACGCTGGCGCGGCACCAGCCACAAGACAGCGATGACATATGAATATGATGAGCGGTGAAGCGTGGCTGTATAAAGGCCTAAAAGGATTGGCTCCGTAAACGCGTGAAGTATATATCTCTTCTAAGATTATGTGTGTGATGCTCGGGGTGGTCAATGTGTATGGTTGGTGCATGAGGTTATGTTAAACCGTAACGGCTTTTACATAGCACTAATACCATACCCGTGTCCTTATACCTAAGGGCAGGGAGGTAAGTGCCTCGTTGTAAATTCGAGCTGCAGCAGATGCCTCTCCGAAAAGGCTGTGCTACGATTCACATCAGTCAAGTTTTGCCATGTCTAGCGGTAGCATAGTTTAGTGTAGTTAGACCTTGTTCAGAAGTTGTGCTTCGTTTAAAAAGCTGATCACATCAGCTATCGGTATTAGGGCGTCATCACCCAAGAGTAGCATTGGATGAAAGGGAATATTTAACCTGTAAACATACGGAAATGTTTTTCTCTTAATGTTTCCATATGTGGGCAAGCTATTAAAATGTGCATTATCGTTAGTTGCTCCTGACACTTATCGCATGTTTGGGCTTCTTCGCCTGCCAATAGGTAATTATGTGTGATGTGCGTGTGACCTATTCGTAGTCGACATATAACTACTTCGATAAAGCGCGCTTGATGAAGACAGGTCTTCCATTCACCAAGAACAGGTTTAATTAGGTGAAGTTTGTTGTTTTGTTGTAATTTCCATTCCTGCTGCCAGTGAAAGGTGGTGGCCCGGCGAACAGCTTGAACCCCATCTCTGGCAGGTATGTTGGTTTTTGACTCGCGCATCTCTTTTGCTGTTGCAGCTAGTTGGTCTGCCTTTTCATTGCCTGGGATCCCGACATGACTCGGGACCCAACAGAGGCGTATGGTGTGGTCATCAGGTGTGTGGGATAGCATGTTTAAAATATCGCCTATGAATGGCTCATACAGAGATTTATAATTGAGACTTTTCAGCGCGCTTAACGAGTCTGTAAATATTACGGCTTTTTTATGTGTTGAGCTTATAATGTATCGTACTGCCATTCATAACGCATAGCACTCAGCGGTTTAGATGGATACGAACGGCGGTAGTCTAGTTATTTGCTCGTGTGTTGCTCCTACCACACTGCTTCCGACATAAGCAGATGTCTTCGAACCATCAGTATAAAATTCTTCGTAAGTGTTGTACGTTTGTTGTAATGTAAGGAATTCTTGTAGTATATGTTCACGTGGGGTGTTTTGTTTTTTTATATGTGTGAGTGAAAAATCCAAGAATTTGGAGAAATCACTCCATGGGGCCAAACTGGGTGGCCTTCTGGCAATGGAGAGTGCTTCGTTAGGAATATTCAGGGCATGAAATTTTTCTTCAAATGTTAGTATTAGTGGCTTAATTACGTTTGGTTTGTTGGCGTAGTGTTGTCGTAGGTCACAGCGTGTGACAATACTGTGGCATATATGATCTGGTGAAGAACGAACTCTAAGGACATACGTGAGCATTAGTTTCGTTCTCCTATATTCAAAGGATGGTTCGTTACTTTCAGCGTATAAGCTCGAAATAGGTGAAGTTTGATAGGCACCTGTTGCGAGGCGTAACCCTTTGTTATGGACAGGGTCTAGGCGCTTAAGGTACGAGTCTCTTGCTGAACCGTAGATTATACTACCGTAGTCTAATTTGCTGCGTACTAAAGAGCGGTAGATGAGCAGGAGGCACTAACGGTCGGAACCCCAGTGCTTTCGGGACAAGACTTTGAGGACATTGAGGGCGCTGTTGGATTTCACCTTGAGATTATTAATGTGTGAAAGAAAATTGAGCTTCTTATCAAATACGACCCCCGGAAACTTCTGTTCTTGTTTTATTGGCAATACTGTTTCATTTATTTTCAGTACGGGGTCTGGTTGTAAGCCTCGTTTCTGGGAGAACGCTGCAGCAACCGTCTTTTCCTCAGAAAACCGGAGGCCATTTTTGTTAGCCCATTGTGTTAGCTTGTTTAGTGCTATTTGAATCTGTCGCTCGCACGTCGCCATGTTAGATGACCGGCACGCTATTTGGAGATCATCCACATATAGTGAGTGCATAAGAGTAGATGGTATGACCTGGTTCACAGAGTTCATTTTGACGACAAAGAGAGTTGTGCTTAAGACACAGCCCTGAGGCAAACCGTTCTCTTGAGTAAAAGTTTCTGAAAGTGTGGTACCCAAACGAACCTGAAAAGTTCGGTTCGATAGGAAAAGCAGTTGAGCATCCTTCCGCGAATTCCAAGATCTGCCAGGTCTCGTAAAATACCGTACTTCCACGTTGTGTCATATGCCTTTTCAAGATCGAAAAATACTGCTAAGCAGTGCTCCTTGTACAGGAAAGCTTCTCGTACTGTATGTTCAAGGCGAACGAGGTGATCGGTGGTGGAACATCCTTTCTTGTAACCACATTGGTGAACATCTATCAAGTTATCGGTTTCTAGGATGTATGTTGTTAGCCTAATATTAATAACGCATTCGAAGGATATATATATATATATATATATATATATATATATAATTTGAAACAGTTGAAACTTTGGCAAGTCAGCATGAATATATTAGAAAGTGATCATTTCATTCATCCTATTGTACTCTAAGGGCCATGTTAAATTACACAGGGGAGTGGTTGCAAAGCTGACAGGTAAGTGCAATTCAGCCTGAAAATAAACTATAGAACAAACCATGTACTCCTGATCGTAAAATCGTAGCTGTGTGAGAACTACAAAGTTAATTCTAAGATTTTAATACAGCGTCTAATATAAATATACTTTTGGCGCGACAGTGCAACCGACATGCACCATCAAGCGCACCTAGCAGCTCTGTCTTGCCGGCGTCATGTTGCTTCCATGAAATTTTTTTCATCTCCTTTTTCACGGTCACCTTAAAATCTGTAAAGACGACTATATTCATCCGCCTGGCCGCCGTTCTAGTAGGACGAACCATGATAAACGTATACGTCCCTTCAGTGCCCACAGCAATGTGTTTAAATAGTCCTTTTTCCCTCGCGCTGTCAACGCTTGGAACGCGCTACCAGGTGCACCTGTTAATATTACAAATATTGATTAATTTTGTTCTTTTGTAGAGCAGGTAACAAAGCCAGTATAGTTATATTTTGCTGTTGTTATTGTTGCGATAACGAAACGCGTGTTTTGCAGTGGTTCATTGTACTCTTTTGTACATATATTTTGTTTTTCATGCGTAGTACGTGGTTTTTATTGTTTTTTTTTTTCGTCTGGTGTATGGGAAGAGCAACAATGTAGTATTGTTGTACTCGCTATTGTAAGTGTTCCGCTGTTGTGCGTATCGTCCCTCAAATAATGTATTTCTTCAACTTTGTATCTAATTGGTTACCTGTGATGTATGCCCGCTTCCTGTACGGGTCTGCAGAAGACCTACAGTATTGTTAAATAAAAAAAATATTAGGTGAACTAGTACTTTGTCGGAAAAGATGCCTATTATTCAGTGATTCCCACAAGCAACTCTCCTTTGAGAAATTGCGAGAAAACACTCACTATTTCACCCTCCTTGTGGAATCAATTTTGAAAAATAAATTTCAATAAATTTGAATTTGATTTATACACTAATTAGTGTTTATATGTTATAATGACGTTACACTAATTTACACATTTAGTGGTAACGAATGATTTCAATTAACACTAATTATCACTAATTAACAGTTCATGGAAATATGGTAATATCCTATTTATATGTTATAATGACGTTACACTAATTTAGACATTTAGTGGTAACGAATTATTTCAATAGGATATTACCATATTTCCATGAAGCTTGATAGGATTGGTACGCGTTTTAGCCATTAAGTTTGATGTATCAGTTGTAATACAGCCGGTACTATATATTTCTTAGGATAGGCAGTTGCAATCTACTTATGCATATGAGGTACAAATCTTCGACAAAAACATTCAGTTGCATATCGGAATGCTACTTTTATGATGGTAGTTGATGCAATAATATTTGTACTGATGATTGAGGATTATATGGTCATGGTAGGTGGGATGATGAAATAAACAATGAAATGAGACCAAATGGGGTAAGTTCTGATAGTAAGCTGAAAAAGGAAGCCCAGACTGGATTTCATTCAGTTTGAAAAGTCAATGCAATATTAGTTAGGAAGTATGAAACTGACGGAGATATTTTATACTCGTACAAGTTCATGTGAACTAAATAAATTATCGATGTACGATTTCAATGCAGAAGTAGCACGTTCAAGGTTGGAGCGAAATAATGTGTAATATAAGAGCATACGTTTTGTGCAGATAGTGCTTTTGAGAAGTTACGACATATACGCACTAACATGTGACTGGTATTTTTAGTAACGTGTTCAATGGGAGTTGTCTAAGATAAGTTGGATGTGAGAAGAATACCGAAGTATTCAGACGAGCTGACAAGATCAAGTGGGACGTTCTTTAAGTGTGTTACCAGTGTGTTAGCAGATCTGGTAACTTGCATTGCCTTACATTTATGAATATTTAAACCCAATCGCCATGTATTGCAGCAAGATGAAAGCGTGTTAAGATCAGAATGGAGAAATAAACATATTATTGGTGATTTGAATACAGTGATTATAAATGGAAATGAATAGAGGCGAAAATTGGTTCCTTTATGTTTTTTTCTGTTTTTTCGGTCCCGTTTTCATTCGCTCTGAATTCTTCCTAGGGCGCATTACGATGACACGTAATGGCTCAGGCTCCTTCTAACTTTTCCTTCTTCCATGATTGCGTTAACATGGGCCTCAATTTTTTG